AGAGAAAGCAGAGCTGAAACTTTTTGTTCCGTTTTCCTACTGTGAGGAAAGGGTACATGTGTACGGCCACTCAGAACCTACCCTCTTCCTGCAACACTTAGGAGAAATGACCTCACTTGTATGCAAACAGGATTAAAAAATATAGAAGTATTTCTCGTCCATTGTTACTTAAGCATGATTTTACTTCCATTGCCTTAAGAGACACTTAGTTCAAGTTCATAATAGTCTTAAATATGTAGATGTCTGGCAATAAATATCAAAGATTTAGAGGCCCATGTGCACGCATATTATCAGAAGTTCTACACAAGTAATCTTAAAAGAAAGAATACTTGAATGCTGTTTCTTGCTTCAGATCTTCTTTCATTTCTCAACAATACTACATTGAAATGGACTGAGGTATTCACAGAAGCAGCGACATTTAGGTAATGAGCTACCTTGATCACCTCGAAAGTGAAGTGGCAGCAGGTTGTGTTAGCTGGAAAAGCATCAGTAGACATAGGCACAGACGACTGGCATATGTGATATAGTTAAGAATGACGAAGGGGACTATTTCCACTCCCACTAGGTTATATACCTTTAGTTTCTAATGTCCAGCATTTTCCGCGCACTACTCCATGTGCTCTTGGTGGAACACAAGAAGTGAGCAAGCCCATTTTTAAAGAAAAAAAATAGTCCTGAATACACAACAAAATTTTGTGGTAAATGGACGGAAAGTCTCATCAGATTTGACAAGTTATCTGAAAAGCTATAACTGTTAGTACTGTTATCAGCCTTTACCAGTGCAGTAATTAAAAATTATACATTCATCTGCTATTTTCAAAAAATAATTGCAAAAGTGTGATATAACTTTAATTAGCATTCAAATCAGTTTTCTCAATTCGCCTGGCTGTAGAGATCTCAATGAGTAGAGCTATAGGTTCAGGCGCTTGCTAAAGCTGTGACTTGTAGAGCTCTGGACCTCTATGAGAGTTACGATTCTGCCTTAAAGAGCCCAAAGCTGAGCAAAAATGAAGTGCACGTTTATCTTTATGTCATATTCTAAAAAGATTTCAGATATCCCCAGGGATCTTTATGAACGTGAAAGGGTCAAGCAACAGCAGAAATCCCTGTCAGAAGCAATTCTTGCAGCAAGCAAAAAAACAAACCAAAACACACCTCATGAAAAAATGAGAAAGTTGGCAAAGTAGTAATTGTATCTGTAGTTGATGTTATAGTAAATACATAAGTGGGCTTCAAAGGTCTCCTTTCAGCCTTATTTAATTTTGATCCTTTTAGCACTTCTCAACCTAATGTCCTCCACAAAACCAGGCAGAGGTATGCACAATCTGTGCAGACAGCATGGAGATGACAGACTTCTGGCTTGAAGTGAGCAACTGTTGTGCAATTCTAAGAGTGGTAGAAAATTAGTCCATCTTTTTACATACAGCTTAAAACTATGCAGTCATTGACTAAAGGGAGAGAAAAGGTTGGGTCAAGGTAATTCAGTAGAATGCACAATGCCAAGCATATCGCTAAGGAAGGGTTGGAAACGGAGGGATGTGGTTACTTTCCCTTATCTAGCTCAGATGCAAGAAAAAAAATCAATGAATGATCATGTTTACATCTTCATTCTGTAGATTTCCTTTATGTCTGTGCTACATCTGCTCTGTTGGTCTCAGGTAGCATTTCTGAAAACTGAAGGCTGTGGAGTCCTTTTAGAGAGCCAGATACAAACCTTGTAGTTTCCTGACCACATGTCACAAACAGACCGAAGCCCGAAACATTTCCAGCTCAGTTGGTATAGATCCCAACTGAAAGCATTGCTACACCTGTGACTCTCTCTCCTTCCAGTTTTCAGTGACAGCATAAATTCATTGTACTCTAACGATGGATGCACCCTGGGTATGGTAAGACCTGGAGCCACAACTTGGCTTTACACTTTTGAAACGTATAACCACTGAATCACCCAGTATTCTTAGATATATATATATATATTTATATACTTTTCCATCACTCCTTCTTAATCAGGATGCGCTCCAAGATGTCTTAACGATGCACTTTAGAGAAATGTTTTGCCTTCCACAGTCACTCACAGAACGGAGTGCCTGTTATCAAGAGTTTCACTGTTCTTCTCTCTCCCTGGGTAACCACAAAGTTTTCTTCCTCCCAGCCCCACCCCACTTCTTTACATTAATCTACCCCCCATTAACAGTTTTAATTCGATGTTCTTAAGACTGTCTTAGTCTCGCACGGCAAAATTCCACATACCACAGAAAATATTTTTTGATGTCCTAAAATTTGACATGACCACTGACAGCAATTTGCAGCTCGAAGACAAGAGACCAGCCTATTCACTGCCTTGTAACATCACTTACTTCCTGTGAAATACAGATAAAATGCCAATGATATCACAGAATCACAGAGTGTTAGGGGTTGGAAGGGACCTCTGTGGGTCTAGTCCAACCCCCCCTAGAGCAGGCTGCACAGGACCTTGTCCAGGCGGATCTTGAATGTCTCCAGAGCAAGAGAATCCACAGCCCCTCTGGGCAACCTGTTCCAGTGCTCCGTCACCTCAGAGTGAAGAAGTTCCTCCTCATGTTCAGACAGAACTTACTCTGCTTCAGTTTGTGCCCATTGCCCCTCATCCTGTCGCTGGGCACCATATCACACATATAGGAAGTGTGTTATCATCCACCTAAGTGCATGAGCATCCTTCTTTTTTTTCAGAATGCTCCTGTGATGCACACAGACGTGCATTATTATTATTGTTATTCAACTTTTTAGAGAATTTAACAGATAAGAACTTTTCAAAGTTGTTGACTGGGTATTGTTTTCCCCAAAGCATAATAATCTGCTTTTTCTGTAGTTTAGAAATATTTCTCCTTGCTGCTTCCTCCAGTGTTTATTTTCATCCCTTTCACTGGACAGCCACACGTACAGCTGCTTCAGCATGCAGCACCGGTGAAGGGACAAAGAGTATTTTTGAAGACAGGGACTTTCCAGAGTATATTTACCGTTAACAGGAAAAAAATACTTTCTGATATCATCAAGCTTGGTATAGGAAAGTCCCCCTCCCTTCTCTCAGCCGATGTTTCCACGTTTTTACCTACAACAAAGTCAAGAATTTGTCTTTATCTGCTCTACCTTACACAATCAAAATTTATGGAAGGGAAGGCAGGAATAATATGTTTTGACTTGTAAGTGTCTGTTAATTTATTTGATTTCCAGCAGTAGAATGTTCAGGTTTTACTGATTGTGCTGACAGTTACGACTACTTACACTAAGTAAGAAATATTTAATAATAAACAAGAAAATAAGTAATATTTTAATATGCATTCAAGACTGTATGAGAAATTTCTAAAAAATAAAGAACCACATTTTTATATGAATATAGGAAAGAATAAAGGCCATATAGCCATTAAGAAAATGAAGAGGGAGATAAAGAATAAGAAATCATGTAAATATAATATTGCAATTTAGCAAACTTCCACTCTTTAGATACTGGACCAGCTGCACACCAAGAAGCTTACAGATGTTCACTCTAATGGTGGTAAAGTAAGAGCACATGTTTTCTTCAGGCCTTTATGTTCTTAGAATATTAACCTCTAGTGCGATGCCTTTAAGTA